TTGCATGGCAAGAGGTGTTATCTGTACAATTGTTAACGAACCAGGTTTACTCGCACATGGTGAGTACATCGAACACTACATATTTGGCATTTACAACGTAACATTTTCGAATTCAAACTATTTTTTGTTCCAACAACTCGAAGACTGAAAAGCTCAACCAAAAGTGCAAGTGTTCTGAAGGGTATTGTGCGTAGTATTGAGTTTCGCAATTTCTGAGTATATTTCTCTCGATGCTCATGATATATTTGTTATTTCATATATTTATATACACCGGTCACGTTCACAAAAAGAGTTAATGGATAAGAGATAATCATTTGCATTACTAAATTTAATCCTTAATCGGCACATTTTTCAACTCTATCCACTATGTAATCCGTTCTAAATTACCAAACCTGTCGTATTTTGTCATGCCACTGAAAATAGTTTCCACAAATGCTCACAAAACGCAGTCGAAATTTTAACTTATGTTCATAACAATGCTGTAATAAAATGGGCACTCCCTTATTGCGTAAATTAACACCTTTCTAGCCCAAATAAAGTACGGACGATTTCACCCATTCGGTACGTTTGTTTGTTAACGTCGCCGGCCCACTTTTGATCCACTTGGTAGCATAGCACATCGAGAGAAAAAGATAAACACTGAAGGTGAAAGAGCTGTTACAAAACCAGTGTAAATAAATACAAAATATAAATAATATAATTTTACAAATATGTTACTGTGCAAAAGCGTGTTTCCAAGTCACATAATTACCAGGGATGTGTCTCACGGTTAAAGCCTTTCGAAGTTGCCACTCCCAAATACAATTAGTACGCAATCTATTCATAAGATTCTTGTAATATATATTTGTACTGTTCTCCACCATATGTTGTGAACAGGAAACTCTGTCTCACTTGGCTGATAAGACTTACACGTAGAGATACACGATTCGAGCCAAAGGAACACACACTAGTTCGCTACTGATATCGTCCAAACCGTCAGCTGAGGTCACACCTCGCTGCTTTCTTCGCTCCTTCTTCTGTTACAATATCTTACAAACTCTATCATAAAACTCTAAGTCATGGCAAAGTAAACATGCGATCAGTACACTCGCTAATTTACCAAGCTAGTGAAAATCCATAATATCGCAAAAACGTTTGCCCCGCACCCGGCATGGATCAAATATTCTTTTATGACCTTTCAATTTATTTTATATTGGGGGGTCGCACTTGAAATATGAAATGAATTATACACTGCAGCAATGTGCCATTCCAGTTTTGTGCTCTAAATTATTCGGGGAAAAACGGCAATCAACGTTAAAATTTATTTCTTTATTTCTTTATTACATCAACAAATCTGATTTATTTCTCGAATATACATATTTGAAACTATGTAATTTTGCCATGAATAGCAGGTACATTGGCGCGTACCATGTGGTTGGTCCAGAAAGCAGGCCTATTTTCATCCATTTGGTAATTTGATACGTAACATGGTGTTGACAAAGAGGGTTAAACGATTAAAATAGAAAAATACACTGAACGTAATCGAAACAGCGTATCGCTATTACGTCTCAGCTTGGCGCTAATCTGTAATGTGTGGTTTTGCTGTTAGATAAACGAGTCACAAGACCAATCTGATTTTGTACAAATCGATTATCTCAACAACAAAAAAAAAAAAAAAAAAAAAATCTCCTACGATGAGTCTCCACAGATCGGTTTTCAGTCTGGAACTTGCCAACTCATATTGTCTCAAAACGCCGGTTTTTTGTAAAACTCGTTTTGGACTATCTCAAAACGTGTCAGTTATGTCGTAAATGATCTTCTGCACATGCGTACTGTGTTGCCGGGAATTCCAACATGGCGACCACGCCACCAAAATACGTGAGCAT